TTGAAACCCCCTATGAAGACCCAGAGCATTATCGTACTCTTGTTGGCCAGTTGATTTACCTCACAACAACTAGGCCTGACATTAGTTATGCAACTCAACAACTCAGCCAATTCATGTCTAATCCTAGCACTGTTCATTACAAGGTTGTGCTACGAGTTCTTAGGTACTTGAAGACTGCTCCTGCTACAGGACTCTTCTTCCCTTCCAAAGGCTATTTTCAATTGAAGGCATTCACCGATTTAGATTGGGCAGCATGTATTGATACAAGACGATCAATCACAGGATATTGTATTTACCTTGGTGATTCTGTTATCTCCTGGAAAAGCAAAAAGCAAAAGACAGTCTCCCGCTCGTCTTGTGAGGTAGAATACAGAGCTTTGGCATACACCACTTGTGAGATTCAATGGTTGCTTTTTCTGTTGCGTGACTTCCAGATCGATCACCCAAAACCATCTGCTCTATTATGCGACAATCAAAGCGCCATATACATCGCCCAGAATCTGACGTTCCATGAGCGAATGAAGCACATCGAGCTCGATTTCCACCTCGTGTGTGAAAAGCTTCAATCAGGTGTAGTCAAACTGCTACATGTCTCTTCAAATCATCAGTTAGCTGACCTCTTCACCAAGCCTTTGTCTCCTGCACCATTTCAATTGCTTTTCTCCAAGCTTGGTGTGCATAATTTATGCCCACCAGCTTGCTGGGGGGGGGGGGGGGGGGTAACAACAAATGCAGATTTGCTATCCCCAATTTCAAACTCAACGACTATCTCTTGAAGACTGAAGCGGTGCTGTTTTGACTCCCACAAGTCACTTACTTACAACGCTGTCGTTTTTGCTCTGTTTGTGTGTTGTTGTTGAACGTTGTCGTTTTAGCACTTCGTTTTGCCCATTACTTTCTGCACAAGGGTATTTGTTTCCTGTCCAAACTACCAAACAAGAATGAGGAGCTGGCTTGTCTTCTTGTTTGTAATCAGCCTATATAAGGCAGAAGTGAAATGAAAGAGTAATAGGTTGTAGGGTTTTCAAATCAAATTGGTTGTTGTCTAGCTCAAGTTTGTCTCGTTTACTAACTAGTCGGCTTGTTAAATAACGAGTCGAGTGTCGAACGAGCTTTTTCTGATTCGAACGTTGAGTTGCTCGCAAGCGGCTTGACTCAGGTCTAGATTGAATTAATGATATAGTCCGTTAGCTAGATGCATGCAATAAAAAAGTGGAGATTTGGTATGCGTCGACTTTTCTTAAACTAGTAGTCTTATCGGCCGTTGACCTTTCGTTTTGCTATACATTTTATATTTTTATTTATAAACTAAAGAACTAAAGATCATTTTTTCCACTTCATCTACAAGAAAGCTTTGTCATAATCACAATTAATGAAAACCCGACAGTTAAGGTTGACTCAAGGCAAGGGTATGATTAGGTGGCAAACTACAGTGCATGGATTCGTTGATTAATTATCTTATTATTTCCAACTTAATTCGTGCACAAATAAAGTACTCACCGTAATGGCGTAATCATACTTTGATTATCTAATTAATTATTTGGAAATGAATATTGCTTTGGAATATCGCACATAATTGTGTCTTATAAGCGTGCAATGTTTGAAACTCATTAGTATTAACGAGTACGGCGGATAATGAACAATGCTCTTCTAATTTGTCATTCAGCATCTCGAATCCAATTAGGAATAGATATCAGAGCACTTCTACTATGCTTTAAAGTATTGGTGTTTTAAAGTACAACTTCAAGTTGTACAATAACGTTAGATGTACAAACTGAAATTGTACTATAAGAAAATTTAAACCTCAAGTTACTTTGTACCATAATATAAAAATACAACTTCAAGTTATACCATAAATGCAAAAACTAAAGACCAATACTTTAAAGAATTGTAAAATTCCTCTAGATACTAATTGCTTTTCAACATCATAATTAGACCCAAGTGTGTGTTATGAACCCATGATATTAGGTCTCATCTTTTAATTTTAGTTAAGAGAAAAGGCTAAACCAACACACTTCTTAAACTTGAACAGTTTGGAAATGCACGAGAAATGAACGAAATGCTCTTTGTTTAACTTAACTGAGGTGAAAAGGTTAAACTACAGCTTCAAAAGTACAACTACTAAATAACAAAGACACGAAATTATCAAATATGACGATGAATGCTACGAAAATCACAACGATTAGAGGACCGATCGAACACACACCATCATTGCTCAACACAACAAAACCGCACAACACATAACCTTGATTCGTTCCCGTTTCACCAATGTCCCCCTTTTTCCGATGAGAAGGTAGAGGATTGTTGACACTCTGCCATTGGATACGTCTCATACCTCATCGCACAACTCACAAGACTGATCTGGGCGCCGTAGTGATCATGGCATATGTTGTAGTTCAGCAACTGGTCCTGGGCGTAGACAAGACAGGCCTTGCAGTCGTCCCGAGAGACGGAGCCCAAACAGTTGGCCCAAGCGTACATGATGGGCTTCTCTTCGGTCTCGGTGCAGTCTGGGCCGGCGGGCCGTGTCAGGTTGACGGCTCCATCTGTGACTCTTCTGGCTTGAACCTTCTTGAAAACGCTGGCGTCGTGGTCCCATCCGCAGTAAGCCGAGATGAGAGTCAGGTCTGGATCGCCTTTAACGACGACGTTTTCGTGTACTACTCCCGTCGTAGCGATCAGTACGAATAGCAAGGGAAGGAAGAAGGGTACGAAGGAGTAATTAGCCATGTCGACGAAGGGCTTTTGTTGATGGGACTACTTGGTTGTTTGATGATCAATTTATACTACAACAATGGAAGGGTGGATTAGTAAATAAGAGAATGTAGAGAAGTTGATCACAATTTTTATATGTATATATTTTTTTTTATAATTGATCAAATCAAAGAAAGGTCAACTGTTTTAGGCTTTTAGCAATTGAAATTGAGGTAGTTCTATTTTTTTTTATAATTGACCAAATTAATAATAGGTCAAGTATTTAAATAACCATTTTGTTGTGACCCACGTCCACTTAGCTAGTATTTACAACCCGTTAATAGTGTAGGAATTTCTGCCTTCCTAATTACTAATTAGGGCAAGGGTGGGTCGGTACGTACGGGTCCAAGATAGGGTGCATAACCCATGGTTATGCACCCGTCAGTAACCCAACAGGAGCCGTCCATCTGGAGCGGGGAGATCTAACGGCTGGGATCGGAGCGGGGTGGGGCAGGGGTATTTTTGTCCATTTTTTGAATTTATGTCCTTCGCTCGTTATTCCTTTTTTGTTTATCCTTGGCCGAGCTGGAATTGGATTCATGAGAGAGAATGAGAAGTAAACAGAGCAATCGAGAGTTTTTCTCCGAAGGATCTGTCGATGGCGAGAAGGTTGGTGGAGGACGCGATTCTTAGCTTAATCGGCAGCGGACTTGCGAGTTATAGTTGTTAGAAGGTCTGTGGAGGACGCGATTCTTCTTCTTCTTCTTGCTCGAGGTTTTGGCTCGATTTGTTTGTGTTGAAGTTTCTGCTGGCCGTTGTTTGGTCTCCGTCGAGGTAATTTGTAGTGATAGTAGGATTTCACGTTTGCACATTGATTCCGTTCTGTAATTTGTTTTTGATGTTGTGTATATATGATTATACCATGCAATACCAGTTTATACCATATATCTGCGTTTTCTCTTTTGTGCTCTCTGTTTTCTGTTCTTTGTGATCAATGATCTCATTATGTTTGTATAAGTTTGTTCAGTTGATTGATCCGTAGTTGAATTTATGTTTTGTGCAGGAATTTTTTGAATCTTCTTTGTTGACTGAGCTTTTTTAGTGCAATGAGTGATCTCAATCAAGGCGCCATTGTTTCTTTGAATGAATCTAATACTGGATCTAGTTCTTCTAATAGTGTTGTTGAATCGGAAGGTAAGAATTTTAAATGTGTTTGGTAAGTTGATGTTTGTATATATGTTATACCATACAGTACCATACTGGTATTTTATAGTTTTTTTGCATATGAGTGTTGTGTTTTATTTTTTGTAGATTGTTTTTATAGTTGTTGTGATTTTATGTTTCTGTATATATGTTTATACCATGCAATACCGTGCAATACCATGTTATACCATATATTACCATGTTATACCATAAAGTACCATACTGGTATTCTATGGTATTTTTGCATATGAGTGTTGTGTTTTATTTGTTGTAGATTGTTTTTATAGTTGTTGTGATTTTATGTTTCTGTATATATGTTATACCATACAATACCATGTTATATACCATAAGAAACTACACTGGTATTTGTATAGTTTTGATTGTAATAAACTTTACCATATGATACTATGGTGGTATTATAGTTTGTACAGCATTAATGTTTCATTGTTTTTATGGTTTAGGTTTTGATGGTATTGATCCTAATGTTCGAAGTTCCTGGAACAATCTTGAGTTCGCTACAACTGATGATGCATATAGATTTTATGTGGATTATGGGAATTATAAAGGTTTTTGTGTGAGGATTTACCATCAGTCGGCATGTCCGAAGCTTAATAATGGTTCAAATGCGGTTTATTATATCAAGTATTGTTGCAATAAGGAAGGCTGGAGGATTGGTAGTGAGCATAATCCTGCTAATCGTGGTTCTATTGATGCGAAGGCTCGTGTTCGTCATGTTCCAGAAATCAGGGGTGGATGTGATGGTGCCTATATTCGAATTAGGTGGTTTAAGCAGTTCAAGTGTTACAAGATTTATAAGTGGTATGATGTGCATAACCATGACATGATTCCTGTGGCTATGCGTCACTACATGAGATCGAATAGAAAAATGGCTCCTGTGTATAAACTGTTGGCAGATGTGAATGATGCTGCTGGTATAGGTGCGACTGCTTCGTATAATGCAATTAGTACAGCTGGTGGTGGTCGGAAGTGTATTGGTTTCACAAGAAATGATTTGAAGAACCACCTGCGGACAGTGAGGACGTCATCAATGGAGCATGGTGATGCAACTGCATTACTAAAACACTTTAGAAGACAAGCTAAGCTGGATCCTGGCTTTTTTCATGAGGTAGAGGTTGATGTGGATGAGAATATTGCTAGTATTTTTTGGGCAGATGGGAAGATGCGGATGGATTATCATTTTTTCGGGGATTCGGTTAGTTTTGATACTACATACAGAACGAATAAAGAGTATCGACCACTAGGTATGTGTTCTTATTTTTGTGATTATTCTGTATTATAGTTATTTTTATTTGGTATTATGTTGTTGTCTGTTAATACTATGGTGGTATTTTGTGGTATTCATTATGTTGTTATCTGTTAATACTATGGTGGTATTTTGTGGTATTCATTTTTTAACACTGTGTACCACATGGTATGTGTAGCTCTGTTTGTTGGTTTCAACAACCATCATCAACTCACTGTGTTTGGAGCTGCCCTTCTATATGATGAAACAACGGCAACGTTTGAGTGGTTGTTTAATCAGTTTTTGGAATGCATGGGAGGTGTGAGCCCGTTGTCTATTTTTACTGATCAGGCTGCTGCAATTGCTGCTAGTATAAGGTCTGTTTTCCCAAGTTCTTTCCATGGATTGTGTTCATGGCATATCTCACAGAATGCAGTTGTTAATTTGGGATCTTTGTGTGATTCGGATTTCCTTTGTGAGCTTAGCTATTTGATGTACAATGTTGATGATGAGGATGATTTTGAGTATAATTGGAAAAGAATGATAGATAAGTGTTTCCCTGGGAAAGGACCTCTTGGACACAGTTGGTTACAAGGTATTTACAAGTTGAGGGAGAAGTGGTCATCAGCTTGGGTGAATTCTCATTTTGGTGCTGGTATGAAGAGCACCCAGTTAAGCGAGTGTTGCAACAGTAATCTTCGTCATTACTTGCAGTCAGAATTTAGTATTCCTAGGTTCTTTGTACATTTTGATAGGATGCTTGATAATAAGAGAGATGCTGAAGAAGAAGAGGAGTACAGAGCACTTTCTACGTTTGCTGATTGTCGCTTTTCAAGCAGTGCTATTGTCAAGCAAGTTGCTGATCTATATACCCCAAAAATATTCCAGCTTTTTCTAGGGCAGTACAAAGAATCTCTTTCATACAATGTTTTCCCTAATACAGATTTAGCTCAAGAAGGGAATGTAAAGATCTTTGATGTCTTTACATTGTTAGCAGACTTTTCAAGGTTTGACAGCAGACTTCTCATAGTTGATTTTGATAATGGTGAAATTAAGTGTACTTGTCGCAAGTGGGAGTCAAGTGGTTTGTTGTGTAAGCATCAATTGAGGGGATATGATTTGTTGTGGTCTACAACTTGCAATGTGAAGTTTCATCACATCCCTTCTAGTTTGATTTTGAAGCGATGGACAAGGACAGCAAAAACTGGTGGGAATTTTGGATTTGCAGTTTCGTTTACTGAGGCTCCGTCAAAGTATCGGTCTCGCCTGTTCAATATTTCAGCTGTTTCTGCTTCGCTTATCAGTAGGGTTTGTTTGAATGATGATTTGTATAAAACAACCATGGATTTCATGAGTGATTTGATCAAGAAGTGTGAAGCTTTACCAACTGTTGAAACAGCTGGTACGGGTGGATCGACCAACTGTGAGAGTAAGTTCCCTGGCCCCCTTTTGTTTGTGTATATGATTTTTGTTATTTTTTTGTCTTCCAAGTTGTTTTACCATGTTGTACCATGTGGTATAGTGTGGTTTTCTTTATTGTTTCTGGTAATATGTTGGAATACCATATGGTATTATGTGGTATTGATTGTAGTATGTATTTCTTATTTGTAGGTGATGTTCCAGTTCGAAATGTGAAGGGGTTTAAGCCTAAGAAGGATTCATTTAAGCCTTCGAAACGACCTATTACAGAAGCTGAGAATGGAAGGGCGGCTAGTAGGAAGAAGAAAAAGACTAGCAGATTGGAAGAGGAGAAATTGAAGGCTGTGGAAGAAAGTTTGAAGTTGAAGTTGTGATAGTTGTTTGAAGGCTGTGGAGTTTTATTAGCTGTTGAAGGATGTTGATTTTTACTTGTTTCTTGCATATTTGTTTTGTTTTGAAGTAGTATTGATCTGCACATGTGAAGGACTTAATGTTTAGTGGATGATTTTAACCTTTGATATAATGTTTTTACTATATGGTGTTGTGTGGTGTTTTTAAAAATGTTTATACCATGTTATACCATATGGTATACTATGGTAAAAACATTTTTATGACTGTAATCTTAGCTAAGTGTTGTGTTCAGTTTAGCATAAAATATCATGTGGCTTTGTTCTGGTGTATTTAAAAATCCTTATACCATGTTATACCATATGGTATACTATGGTAAAAATCTTTATACCATGTTATACCATATGGTATACTATGGTAAAAACATTCTAGATGACTGTAATGTTAGATATGTGATCTGTGCTGTGTTCAGTTTCCATAAAGTACCATGTATGTTGTTGTGGTGCATTTAAAAACGTTTATACCATGTTATACCATATGGTATACTATGGTATACACATTTTTGATGACTGTAATCTTAGATCTGTGACAATAATAAGGGGTAAGATAAAGTACTAGGCTGTTACATAACCATAATAAGAAGTGTTTCAAATGTAAGTTATAACACACCCATAAAGAAAAACACTGAATACCTTGTTTGTTCTAAAAAGCACACACATAAAAAAAAACTAGCAAATTGTTTGTCTGCAAAAGCATTGTTTTCAGAAGCTGATGTCTATAGTAGATATTATAACCATACTGATGCTGTCTCCTTCCCTTACTTGCTTCGATTCTTCATAGCACAGTACTTTGTGGCAGCCTTCATTATCCGATCACGCTCCAGGTTGTCTTTATTGAGGATGATATCCAGCATGATACACTCCCTGTCTTCTTTGATCAGATCCATTCTCTTCCAGTCTGATTGCATAAAAGTCTTCTACTTTCCTTCCCAGTGGCGCATCCATCTGATGATGTACAATCCACATGAGCGTTTATCTGGCTGTGTAATCTTCCCCAGATTGAACCAGTCAAACTTCTCCCAGGAGATTTGTCTGTTCCCACTGTACACACTCATGTAGTTGATTGCATAATTGACAACTCTTGCTGCCACTGGTCTGTAAGTCGAGTCAAAGTCTTTGTAGCGGAGACTGTCAAGCACATCAAATCTTGTGTTCTTGATGCTGACACAGATCATGATGTAGTGTTCACCATCACAGTAAGGGAAGAACCACTGCATATAAATGAAGTGAGAATGTTAATGGACAATTATAAATATGTTTTGAGGAATAGTTTTTTGATGTCATACCATATGGTATTTTATGGTATTTGTAGTGTTACTTACAAGGTCACAGTTCTGGAAGCTGAGGTCTTTTGCCCATGGTTTGTCAGAAATATATTCATCCACCTTGTCGAAGTATTGGTCTGCACTTAGTGGAGGATTGTTGTTTTCTATGTCCAGCTTGCAGTCAGACTGTACATTTGAAATTATGTTAAAGCAATCATATATTCAGGTATGGTAAGTATAGTACATTAAAGTATGGACAAACTTACTGCCAAATGACTAGAGAAGAACCACTTGGTGATTTTTCCTGTTTTTGCTTGATCTCTGTTCATCAGATCTCCATACCAGTCCACGACATCATTTGTTATCAGTTGATCTATGTCAACAGATTGCAATGATGACCTTTTGAGCAAGCCTGTTCCATCCTCTCTTCTGAACATTACCTCGTCCCTGTTCAGAAGAGTATACCACATTATACCATGTGGTATTGTTCAACATTATACCATATCATACCATACCATATGTCATTAAGAAATTAATTGATATTAAGAAATTTACTTACTCGGAGACAATTTTGTTGTCTTTGCACCTTATGTACTCAAGAATGTCATTGAAAACTTCATCAGGAGTTGTCTGAGGTGGTGTAACCATCATTGCAATTGGGATTGCATCTAGGGCACCATCTTTTGCTTCAACTGGTTGATTTGCTGCTGATGAGTCCATTCCTGGCATTGGTTGTGAAACTGGTGTACTCAGGTCATCAATGTAAGCAGCCAAGCATGCATTTATCTCCTGTAGCCTCTCCTGGCTGTTCGAGTACAAGCTTGACCATTCAATGAATTGTTTATTCTCCAACTGTTTGCTTGTTTTTTCTTGTGGAGGGGTTGATGTTTTTGCTTTCTTCTCTGGTCCATGGACATTCTTAACCACTATCCTTCTTTTGCGCGGTTCTTCTGGTTGTTGTGATGTTGTTGCTGTGGTGATGTTGACATTTTCTGTTTGTGATGGTGGATTGAATGGGCTGAGGTCAAAAGATGGTATGTCCCTGTCTTTGGCGGTGGCTGTCTTTGGTGGTGCATCTGTGGGTTTTCCTGCAGTCTTTGGTGGTGGCTGTATTGCTTCTTCATCATTGTTCTTCTCTTTTTCTCCCTCCTTTGAAACAAGCACATCTGACTGTGTCTTTTCACTGTCATCTGCTTCCTGATCTTGATTCATTTCACTTGACTTTTCTTCATTTCCTTTTTTGTTGGCCTCCTGGTTTACATTCTCTGGATCTGAATTTCCTTGGTTCTTCTCAGCAGTTTCAGTAGTATCCTTCTCAGCAGTTTCAGCAGGATTCTCTTTCTGATGTTGAGCTTCTGGTTTTGTTGGAGAACCATCTTGATTCTTCCTTTTCTTCCATTGTGTTGGTCCAGCTAGATCCACTGTTGTTTGTTGAGAATCATCATTTCCTTCAGATTCAGTGACTGTGGGTTCTTTCCTTTTGTCTGTTTTGAGCTTGTCAAAAATATGCTGCAGAGTGTCTTGCAGGTTTGCATCTTTTTCTATATCTTCATCATCAGACTCAGCTCCTTCAGTTTGTTCGATAATCACGTCATCAGATCTTTCTCCTTCCACATCATCAAAGTTTTGATCAGCTTTTTGCTCCAACATTTCCTTGTGTTTGACAAGCTCTTCAATTTGAGCTCTGTACTGCTTCTTGATTGATAGCAACATAGCTTTCATTGATGTTTTCACCATCTTCAGTGCTCTCTCAGCCTGCATTAGTCATTTTTGGTCTGTAAGTTAATATTTACAGTAGAATACCACATATTACCATGGTGGTATTGAATGGTATGTGCATTATACAGTATAATACCATATATTACCACCATGGTTCATGTGTGGTATTTTAGTTGTATGAATTGGACAATTTGTAACATATGGTAATTTATACTTACTTGGGGGACAGTCTTGATCATCTTCAAATCAAATATTAGTGATGCTGATGGTTGTTGGTCTGTGTTGTTGTCATCATCATCACTGTCGATGTCGACAATCTTCTCTTCTTTGTCCTGTATCTTCATCAGCTTATGGAGTTCTTCTCCACCATAGTAGCTCACTATGTTTTCATAGTTCCTTTGCACAGCAGTGTCATCATAGTAGCTTGCTGTTGGGATTTGGAACTGGGTGGAGAAGGCCATTTCATCCAACTTGTACATGAAGCATACCTTTTATTTGTTTGTGGGAAGGAGAAACAGTTGTATTAGTATTTGATGTACTAGGATTTGTAAAGCTTTTAGGGTATAGTAATTGAAAATGGAATTATTGTGGGTATAGATACTTACTGTTAAGAAATGAAGATCTGCATTGATGTACACGGTGTTTGCAGTCAACCCGTTATTCATGTAGTCGAAGAAGAACTTGCACCAGTTGTATTCTTTGAAATGGTTGATTGTGTCTGGCTGCAAGTACTCCAACACATTCAACTCAGCAGTAGGGTTTGAATATGGGCACAGTAGAGCTCCCGTAACCAGAATCCAGAACAGCTTGATCCATATTCCAATGGTATGAGCATTAGAAATGTCATGCTCTACATTAGCTAATTTCACCCTTCCATTTGTAGCTGGAGCTTCTAGTTCTAGTAGGACCTGCAACGCATAGTCTACTGCTTCTTCCACTGATAATTTCTTGAGCGTCACTTCCTTTTTACCCATTGGTAGACCATAAACTCTATGAAAGTCAATTGGTGATATCTTCATGTAGGTTCCACCAGGCAGCTTGAATGCTTTCTTTATCGGATTGTACTTGCTCATTGTGAATAGAGCAAAGTTCGTGTTTATCTTTGTTTGCTGGATGGATGTTAAGCCATCAAGGCCTAATTCCTGCAATTTTTCCCTCTGTTCAGCTGTTAATGTTCTTGAAAGTGCATTGATTCTTGTCGGGCTGCACCTTGTTCGAAATTTGTCCCTATGTCTCGACATGATGTACCTGCATCCAGAATAGAAGAATTGCTATAACATACCATAGCATACCATAGCATACCATATTCTACCAGTAAGCAAAAACACCAACTACCATACCATAGCATACCATACTATACCATATTCTATCAGTAAGCAAATGAATAATTGAGGTAGTGGCTTTGACCAGTACTTGTGTGGTTTCTCCTTAGAATACCATATGGTACCAGTGTGGTATTGTAAGAAAATCAGAGCATAGAATAGGTTTTTATACTTTTCCTATAAAATCTTTTTCATTTTTACTTTGACCACTACTGGAACGGTTTCTCCTTATAATACCATATGGTACCTGTGTTTATACCATGTTATACCATATGGTATACTATGGTATTGTAAAAAAATCAGAGTATGGAATAGGTTTTGTTGTCGTTTTATACACTTTTCTATAAAATGTATTTCACTGTAAGTACTTTTACCACTACTGGAACGGTTTCTCCTTATAATAGCATATGGTACCAGTGTTTATACCATGTTATACCATATGGTATACTATGGTATTGTAAAGAAATCAGAGTATGGAATAGGTTTTGTTGTCGTTTATACACGTTTCTATAAAATGTAG